GTCCATATTAGGACAACCTATCATCGCCTAGTCCATATTAGGACAACCTATCATCCATGCCTTGGCTGCATCCCACGCCACTTAAATTTTAATGTCACATATCCCCCACCCAAACCCCACGCTCCAACTCTACCTATGTGTGTGTATATGTATATACGTTAAAGTCATTAATTAATTTCAATTATATATTTTATGAGACCTACAAATTTTTAATCACATATTTTCCATTATATTATAGATATAGAGATATATACACTTACCTATTAAAGGAGACAAGGCAATTCAATGACAAATACTGAATACACTATGCCCATGCGGGCTTGCTCCTCATTCACCAAAACGAAACTCTGGTGGGCCTGCAACCGGCCGTCACTGTAGTCGGTAGCACCTAACAGTGGGCCATTGACGGGGTCCACAAGAACCATCCTCTGCATGGGGTTCACAATGTAGAATTGTCCACATCCTTATCTTTGACTATTGACTCTTGATTGAAAGAAAAATTGTTAGAAAAACAGTGAATATTCCAGTGAAATGATGCCGTGTTTTGTAACTGAACTCTCCTTGTCTTTTAGCAGAGAAATTTTCTGAAACAGCCTCGACCACACGAAGCCCACCCCTTTTCGAACACGGGTAGGCCTATCTCTTACATAATTATCAAAATTATAAGGTCCAAACGAATAGTGATGATGGTTGATTTTCATCATTGGTCTTGAGTTTTATGGGTTCGATTGTGTCTGTCCTACTAAGTGCGACTTTGGAAAGACTTAGAAGGGGGCTAGGAGAGTACCATGTAAGAAATTGCACTTCATTTACTTGAGTGATACTTCTTGTCGTCATGTGTACTCGAGTACGGTGACTATTTGACTCTGATCATTTTCGGACTCACTACTTTAAGAAGATCTTGTACATCTATTATATCACTCTTGAGTTTCGAAAGCCAATAACTTCATCACCGTCATTCTTTAGTGTCTCCAAACGTTTTATTAGAATAGAATTGTGTCACCAACATCATGTTTCTTACGTTAATTTATTTTGTCCAATTTTGTTGGTTTTCATTTTAGGTATATAATTATAAACTCTACAAATTAATAAGGTTGAAGAATTTATTCTGTATTTTGCATTTTTCTTCTCACTACTACATGAAAGAAAAAGGAGAATACTTTTTGGGTGGTGGTATATAATATATATTTTGAAACGTTTTCTAGTTAAATATGTGGGAGAAAAGGAGAATTCTTTTTCAGCTCAAGAGAAAATTTTGTTGTTTGAATGGTCTCATTGAATTTCATGATTTTAATTTGTTGGTATTCTGTTGGATGAATTGCAATAATCTTCTTCTTTTTCTAAGTAACAAACAAAGACGGCGGACGAAAATTTTTCTACGATGTGACAAAATGATGTACGCATGCATACAAAATTCACAAAAATATCAATTATATACCCATTTAGTTGAAATATCTCGATCAAGGATTCGAGACGACGATGCTTCATGCAATCATAGCAAAATGATGAATGCAAGATAATTCACCACCAAAGTTTACTTTGAGCATATACGTACTCATAACTCAATACGCTATAATTATGTTTTATCGAGTTAAAATGTCTCGATTATAATGAAACAAGAAGACGACGCGTCATGTTAGTCGTGGGAAAACGAGGAAAGCAAGATAAATCACCACCAAAGTTCATATATCTAACTAGTATGTACTCATATCTCAATAAGATATAATTAGGTGTTATCGACTTGAAATATCTTGATTAATGATACAATCGACGACATATCATGTCAATTATGGCAAAATGATAAAAGCAAAATAATTCACCACGAAAGTTGACAAATCTAAGGAGGACAAATAATCAATAAGATACAATTAAATGTCGTCGAGTCTCTGTCAATTATACGAGATGACGAGTCATCATGCCAATCAATGAAGGGAAAAAGGCATAGGAAAAGAACTTGGCACGGCCATGGATGCATCATATATATCCACGTTAACCAATGAATATAAAGATGATGGATGTTATGTCCCATTGAGATTTTGATGAGTCGTATATTTTTACGATCATCGACCCATCAAATTTAGTACCATGAAAGTGAAGGAAGAAGCATCAAGTATATATAATGACTTCCTTTTTTATTTGTAGGGTATATAATGTGATATAATTAATCATAAGTGGATACGTGGCAATGTTCTTAACCAGATTTGCTTGTCATGTTTTTTGTTTGCTAAAAATTTGAAGAAACCCAATGCCATGTAATTTTGTAGGGCAAGCAAATCTTGTAGGGACTTCTATAACTCAGGATATGATGAGTCGACATTTCGATAAGAATTCTTGAAAGTCGTCAACCTAATATCTCCGGTGTATCATTGATCCATCGAGTAAGAGCTCTCCTACACGAGACTCTCAAATCGCTATGATCTACTCCATCTCTATTTGATTAGTTCGTTCTCACAATCTTGCAAATTTTTACAATTACGTTCATAAGTAGAATCTTATTTCGAGCTTACTTTTGCACACCAGAATTACTCTTGAGGAGGCATTTGTTCCCAAATAAACTACCCACCTCGTAATGTCCCACCTCCACCCGAGGCATGGCGGTTATGCATTTTTAGACGAAAGAGTGGTCTTTTGGGATTTGTTGTATAGGTTCTACCTATTCTACACATTCGATTAGGGTTGTCACTGCAAAGCAAGGTGGGTTAAAAGATAAAAGAAGTTCGTAGAAAAAGAAAAATATATAGTCACGATTAAAAAATAAAGATGAATTTCGAGGCGTGTTAAAATGTCAACTATCTTTTGTTGGTGAAAAGTGCGGGAAATGGAAAATAGCTGAAAATCGGATTTTATTTAGTTGGAGGTCTAATATTTTTTTAGAAGGCATAGTTTTCAATAAACCGATAGGGTTGCACCGGATAGTAGCTTAAAAATGGCTTTAAGATCTTGCGTTATTTCAAGAAAAATTTATTAATTGCATACTGATTTTGGTCATATCCCTTATTAAAATATCAAGGCCGACACCAAGTAGATCAAACCAAACATTGCATAATATGTAATTGTCTTATATAAGATTCGACATGAGTATACAAAGTACTAATTTTGTGCCCNATATATTAAACAATATAATAGAAATTCGAGCCAGACTAATTGTACAACCGAGATTGACAACCACTCACATGGGGAGTCCACTTTTTTTTTTTTTTTGAAGTTTTTAAACATGCGGACCGGACCCTGCACACATGTGAGAGGTTGTCAACCTCAATTGTACAAATAGAATTTTCCAATTCAATCATTTCCCCTTCTTTAATAAATAGAATGCGTTCGATATATTGAATTAGATAAAATTGAATATGTGAAACAAAAAATGCATGTAATAAAATTTATAGGCTATGAGTGTGTTTGAGGCACATTATTTTGGAAGAATGTATTTTGAAATAGTAGATTGATGGAGAATGTGTGGTTGAAAATGAGTAAAAG